TAGTAGCAATTAAATTGGGGTTTTCATGTTAGAAGGGACAATTAGACAGGAAGAACACTAAAATATCATGTGAAACTTTGTTTTGGGAAAGCAGGAATTTAAAAAATATCTGTATTTTCTATGAAGAAGAAAAAAAGTATCTAATTAAATTGGACCAAAACTCATGTTAACTCTTCAGCTCAGAATTACCCAGGAATAACTCGGACAATAGATTATATTAATTTCTCCCTATTTGAAAAACACTTGTGTTGGGGTCTCTGCTGTCCTGACACCTTGGGAAAATTCTTGGGAATTTTTTGAGAATATTCTTGGAAATGCTGAATATTGGTAAAATTGGTATAATGGAATATTGGAAATATTCTTGGAAAAAATATCACAGGACTATTCTGATGAAAAAGTTTTCTTTAGTTTGTGTTTTTACAGTTCCAAACTTGTACAAACTTCCAACAGTTTTAATGGAGCCTTCAATTTTTTAAGTACTCAATAACTCAGCAATTGCTTTCATTTGTAGGTCTTTTTCTTTCATATCTTTCCTAATGCATTTTTTTTCATGTTTGTTTAGGGCTAGTAATAACCTTAATGATAGAAAGTCTGTCTCTGAGACTCCAAGCCCTACAAATGAGTGGTTTTTTAGATCTTCCATCTCTCCCCATTTGCAAGGAATGTTGCTAAAACATGCTGATGCTCTGGTTCTGGACCATGGATAAACTCTAAAGAATGTTTTTTCCATCCCCTCACATCTTCTTTGCTCTAGGTTCTACCCTTCTTGACTGACACTATGTCTTTCATACCCTTCTTCTAAACATTTTGCACTGAATTCCTCCAAGATATTCTTCACATTTGTCATCTGTCATTTGCCTTAACTGCAGTTGCCCCTGTAGTTATTGCACATCTACTTATCTGTCCTTTGACTCCCTTGGTCTGCTGCACTGACCAGAGCACTCAGTACTTTCTATTTCTTTCATTTCTCATTTTGTTTCTATGTAGTGGTCAAATAACTCATATAGGTTTCATTCTTCTGTTGGGGTCACTGACCAGGTGCAGACAATCAGCTTGTTCAGTGGCACCCACAGCATGATCTCTAAAGCAACAGACAAAATGTGGTGCTCTGCAGCAGTGAGGAAACATATTCTCTGTATTTCTTAAAATCTGATAATGGTGAGTTTCTTAGCAAACCAAGGTTTAATGCTGATTTCCTTTTTTCTGTAAAGATGCCTTGGTAATGCAATGGTCATTCTGAGTGTTGCAGGGCATTTTTGAGAAGTGTCCTGTAAAGAAAAGTTCTGCCATAATTATTTTGGCTGCCCATAGTGGGGGTAGGCTCAAATAAAAGAATATATAGCATTACATCTTCTTGCAAACTGCCAGCAGATGGTGTGGAAGATCTCATCCTACCTGCTTATTACATTACTGTCTACATCTGTGTGACACCAGGTAGAAGTCCAGAGACCTGAAGTGTTACACTTGCCTAAGCACAGAAATCAAATCATAAAAGAGCCACTGCTTGCACTATAACAATGTAGACATATCAGTACTGTTCCTGAGTGTCAGAGTTGCTGGTATTGTCATAATTATCTGTGTTCTGAGCATAATTTGGGAATATATTTAATTATGCAGTGTACCATCCTACCTAAAGTAAACCAATGTTTTATTAAACTCACTGGAATTAAATTTCTCCATTTAAAATGTTTCTAATTTAAAAGGTTCATTTTGGAAAGACTCTTCAAATCTGAGCGAATTAGCTGGGATTGCCTTTTTGAATACTGTATAAAATGCATGAAATTTTTCCAAAATCTGTTAAAAATAATTGAACCAGCTGTCTAAAATTTAAAAAAAAGTTTTTCTATGATTGCTCATTTAAAAATGGTAAAATTATTTTATAAATTATTTTAATCTATCAGTCTTTCATATACCTACAATTATATGCTCGTCTAATTCTAAAACCAAAAGTGGATATTTATTGCTGAACTGTGATTTTTACTCAAAAAAAACCCAAACCAAACAAACACAATTAAAAACCAAACCCTTTTTCCTCAAATGGTTCATTGTATTTAGAACTGGATTAAAATTTCAGAAAGCTTTCTGAAAATATCCCCTAAATTAGTTAGCTTGTTTTTACTTTTATGATTCCTAGCTGTAAACCTGTTTCAGATAATAAGTAACTATTGTAACATTTTAACCTGATTTACCTTTCATCTTGAAGTTGTAGCGCTTTGGGGCTTATAGAGGAGAGAAAAGTAGCACAAATGAACCAGAAGGGTTCAGTTCAGTTGGGGCTGGACTGAAATGGGTCCTTCCACGGACATTTGGTAGGGCCAGTAAGGGCTGGTAGAGCCCTCATGGCCCTGACAGTATCCTTCTGTAATATTTTAGTTATTAGCATATTGGCATTATTAAAGCTATATATAATTGTAAGAATGTTCTTACATTGTTGGGTTTTGTTATCTACAGTATAATTTTTGAATTGGCATCACAAATCGTAACCTGAAGTTTGCATCAAGAGAGTAACAGGACTGGTCATGGGGAGAAAAAAATTATCCAGTGTTTTTATGCTTTAAATATGTTTGTATTCCTATGAGTGATATTCATTGCACTTTATACTCATCTTACAGATCAAGAATTCCACTTATTTCAGCTAAGTCTTCTCTGAATGTCTAGCTCCTCTGAGTAGACTGTTTGTGAATTCCTTCAACTTCTGTCTTTAGGCACTTCCTGCATAAAATAAAGTGCAGGTAAACAATGTGGATGAAATGCTGGACTTCCTAAATTCATAGGAGTTTTGCCACTGCATTTTCTTTGGTCCAATATTTAAGATTGCTGCTCTGTATCTATCATCAGAAAATGAGGAATATAGATTTAAGTTCTTAACTTCTTCAGCCCTCTTTTTTTTTCCTTTATATAAGACAAGAAAAGAAGAAGAAAGAAGGCTTGGCTCACCTAATTTTTCATTATCTTGTATTTTGGAATTTTTTATCCAAGATTCTTTTTTCAAAACTAGAACCTGGGAGGCAGATTTTAGCCTGAGGTTTGTGTTAAGTGTTTTTCTATGTCGAGAGGAGAGAAACCTTCAGATCAGACTGTGATCAGTCTTTGTGAGCAGAAGTTTCCAAACCTTTGCTGAACTGGAAAAAATAGGCATGGCTGTATCCTCCCTTGCATAGGATAAAATTATTCTAACTGAGAAGACTTTTAACGAAAAAATTACTTAACAAAAGTGAAAAGGGCTCCTTAAAAGTCTTTGGCCTTGCTGATGCCTATTAGGACAACTGCTTTTCCCAGAGCAGCAGTTGCCTGGACTAATGATTTTCAAAAGACCATAAGGAAAGTGGAAATCAAGTGGTGAGAAAAAGGTCCTTAACAGCTGCTTTTGTTGCCAGAAGCTCCCTTGATTGCATCACATGTTCATCTCAAACTAGTAAAATTGAACCCAATGTCTCACTGATAATTATATCTTTTTATCTGGAAAAATGGGCAAGCCAAACAGTCTCTTTCATCTGCCAGAATCTGTGAAGCAGAGGTAATTGGCAGGATGTTAGAGAGGTCATAGCGTAGTCCAGTGAGGGATTAAATACACCTGAACTCCTTGAAATTATCTCAAAATCATTTCAGGCTTCCCAGGAAACAGATTATCATTTAAAGTTAATGATCATAGTGAAAACAACTGGGAAGAATGTTTCTTGTACAAGAAAACTCTGGATACAAAGGAAAGGTCTGTAAAGCACAGAAAATTTTAGAGAAATTATGCATCATTCAGGTAAAAATAAATCTTTATGTCTCCTTATGTAATTTCCTTCTTGTTGAAAAAACTTTCAAGAACAGCAAGAACCAATATATTAAGAGACACACATATGAGGTCTCTTTAACCTTACATGCTTAATCCAGGGATAACCAATAATGGATGCCTAGGGAAGAATATAAGAATATAACAAGTATATAATAAATTTCCCAAATCTCTTCCTAGCCTTTAGTCATTCCTACCTAAGGCACATCCCCAGCTGTTTCTGTCAGATGTGTTCCTGCTGTTGGGTAAACATACGTAAGCATGCTGAGTGCTAGCAAACTGCCAGGAGCATTGCAGGACCCATGGTCTCTCTGCAAGCTTCAGGGAATGAGCTGTGTGCTACCAGGTGATTTCAGCAAGAAAAGTGCCTTTCTGCAGCAGCAGTCACAATCCTATTTTTTTACTTCTCTCATGCTCTCACCCCACTCCAGTGAGAGCATGATTGGTGAGCTTGCACTTTTTTTTAGGCTGGTTCTTTTGGCTCTCTGTTGAAGCTCTGCTCCTTTCCTGCACATCTGCACTTCCCTTAAAGGAGTGCATGTGGCTCCTCGTTCTTCTAGAAAGGAATGTTAAGACTGTGGTTAGTATAAAGTGTTTGTCTCCCTGCTGTATCAGTTTGATCCCTAATAGTATACCTGTAAAGTACTAATGGCCGTGGATCAGGGCTCTCTGCTACAAGGTCTCACCTTCCAGTGCCCTCATTGTTTTCTTTGAGAGTAACAATTTTCTTTATCTTCATCTCTAATCTTTACATCTGTGTTTGTAAGGTGTTACTAAGAGCAATACCAATATTATAGATTGTGCAGATTAATGGAATAATACAATATAGTATTAGTTAGGTAGTTAGAAAAGTATAGGTTAACCATATATGGGAAAGGCTAGTGGAACAGGTTGGCATTATGGTTTTTTGAATTTGGAACTTTATAATATTAACAGGAAATTAAAACCCAAATTTGGGTGTTTGGGCATGCAAAGAAATCAAGTTGAAATCTGATTTCTGAAGCAGGGATTGTATGCACAAAGATTTCAAGTTTAAATTAGAACTCTTGGTATCCTTTAATATAAAAATTTGACTTGCAAAATATGTAATGAAATTATTAAAAAGGACTGTTATGCTTGACACAACTTCCCTCTCAGCATGCATGTTAATACTAAGTTCTAACTTAATTTTACCTCAATTTTTTGTTCTCACATTTATTGTCTCATGCTTGTTTCCCAGGATAGTCCACTGGTCTTACAGTCTGACAGAAATGTAACAGTGAATGCAAGAAATCACATGGGACAGTTAACTGGACAACTGACAGTAGGTGAGTGTTCTTTATTGACTGTTATGTTTGTCAATTTAGCTTTATTATTAGGTTTCATTTGTTATCATCACATATAAAATATTACTAAAAAGTCAGGAAAAGGAATCACATCACCATGCTCAAAAACCATTGCATACAATGGATCATAAGAGCATTATTCAGCATTAGCTCAAGAAGAAAAACTAGAAATGCCTCAAAATAGCTAAAATGAAAAGAGCTTAATGAAAAATGGTTATTTTTGAGACCATTGTAACAAAACAAACTGAAAATGCCTCAGCAAAATATGTTTCAACAACACTTTCAGCAGGAAAATAACCATAATTTTCTTACACTTTCTGTCAGTCCTCCATTACTTCAGTGGCAATTGATTTGGCCCTGTCACTTGTGTAGGGCATTTGTACCAGCACATATTCAAAGTGGTTGGAGTAACAGAATGTTAAAAATCAGAAAAAAATGCCCAAAAACCAAAATGCTTTCCTAGTCACTACAAACATTAAATGAAAAGGTAACATATTTCCAGCCATTCATTAAAATTGATATTTTACGAAGTATAAAATATAGCAGTTCCAAATGAAATGGATATTAAAGAATCCTCTACTTATCTTTTTCACTTACCATGTATTTCCCCCCGTTTTATGAAATTTATTGTTATACTTTGTTTTTAGTATGAATCATACTTCTTGTGTTAATAAATATGAAATAATTTTTTTTTTTTTGAACTAGAGGAGTACTGATATTAATTTATTTTTAAGAATATTGGCCAGAAGAATCACTGAGAAATGATTTACTAATTCTGGTACAATACAATATATATTGACTGGGAATGGGATAAAAAATATAACAACATACATTCATATGACCTTAGTATAACAAATTCAAGGAGACACCCCTTAGACTTTATTTGTTTTCATTTTTTTCATTTTACTTCTGGATTAAGATGTGTTTTATTCATTGTGTTTTCCTCATGTGCTGAGGTTATGCCTACAAATAATTTTAACTTAAACTCTGGTTGTAATCTATACTAAGTTTTCATAGTGACTGGAGACAGTGGCTTCTAGTGGTAAAAATCTTTTCCAAGTGCACACAGTGACACACCATCTGCACTGATTTCCCTGAGCATCCACATCGAATGAGCGTGCAAAGGTAACCAGACTTGCTAGCAGGTACAGATGAGGAAAATTAAGGTAACACCTGTTCTGGCCATATTGTACTTGCCCAGTGCAATTACAAAATGCAGTTCTCTATCATCTGGTAACTCTATTGTTAAAACCTCTTGTTCAGCTGGTAACTGCAAAAAGGTGAGTTGTCCATGGCAGACATTCACATTGGCTGAAATAGATATAATATTTTTATCACTGACACTATTCTGGCTGAGTAAATCCAGCACTGAAAATGTGTGTGAGTTTATTGAGGATGACCTACTTAAAGGCATCACACTAGAGGTTAATATTCTAAAAGCATGGATTTCTGAAAAAAACCTATGTTTTTATGTTACTGTCATTAGGGTGAACTCCTTAAGCTTCTTGGTGTGCAGCTGGTGCCGTCCCTGGAGACTAGAAGCTTGTTAAATTTTAATATTGTATTTACCTTACTTCTTAATCTATCTCCCTCTTTGTTTCATATGTGACCTTTGTTATTTCTTATATCAGTATAAAAATATTTTTCTGATTTTTTTTTTGTGAATCCCTGGTACAGTATTGGATGCATGTTAAAATACTCCTTATCTCTTATTAAATACTTCTTAATAAAGACAGTCATAACTGCCAGTAGAGTTAGTAAACCCTGAATGTTGTCCTATTAAGAAATCAAAGACATTTACAGGAATCTAAAAGTAAAAATATATTATTAAGGCACTCCCTTCTAATTTTTTTTGTTGTGAAAAACACAACAGAGACAAGTTTTTACTTTTGTCTGGGTAAAAGCATGGCCACATTTGCTGGAAGAATGGTAGGGGTATTTTCCATACAAAGTTTGCTGACAAAAGAAAATATTTTTTTTCCTATTGGTTGTAAATGTGCCCCAGAAAGTCCCTGTCTTTAGAAATGCTCTCTGTCCATTCAGTAGTGATGTGTGCTGAAGCAGCTGTTTGTGTGGCTGCCCAGTGAAAGGAATAAAAATAAACAGTGAGGAAAAATGTTTTAAACAACAACAAAAACGAAAATTATCATGTCTTGGGGAAAAAAAATCTTGTTAAAACTTTGAAATGTCATTATCTCTTCAGTTTTTAAAGAGTTGAATAATAAGCAGTAAAAAAATAGACTACATATTAATATGCATGGCAGGAGCATTCTACAAAGAAAGAGGGATGCCAGTGCATTCAAAAGGATGATAATGCACTTTTCATACATGTGATATCATTGGCATTTTATCTTCATTTCACAGGACTGAAGTGATACCACAAACCAGCAAATAGGCTGGTCTCATCCTGTGTTTGGCATCCACATTGCCACTCATGCCAAATTTTAGGACAACTAAAAATTCTTTGTGTGGTATTTGTAACCATGCCATGTAAGAATAAGACAGCCTTAAGAGCATATAATTAGAACTGTAATAGGAAGATGGATTAATGTAAAAAGTGTTATTATTGGGCTGGGGGGAATATGGTATATGTTCATTAAGGGAGATGGAAAAAAATCCAGTGAAACTCTTAAAGGGTTATTCAATTCTGTAAGTGACAGAATATGTCATTAAAGTGCATCATTAAGACATCTTGGGAAACATCCTGATCTAGAAGGAGTGAAGACAAAGGAAATTAAATAATTTTTTTAAAAAAAGTAACTAAGTGTATTGGATGATTGAGTGGTTGCATGTTTAAATGGTATAAATTCAAGTTATGCTTCAGGACATAAAGGACCAAGGGTACACCCATTATTGCAGTACAGCATTTTTTATACTGGCACCAAAATCTGTACGGAGAGAAAGTCACAGCTGTAGCAATGCTTTCTGTTGGGAACTGTACCAACTGAGCAAGAGATGTTGGTTTGTACTCCAGTCTATTCATGACATATGGTCTGGAAACTGCCAAGTTTGTGTCTGCATCTCCAAGAGGACTCCACAGCCTTCAGTTTTTAGACATGCCATTTAAGTCCAATGGAGCAGATGTAGCACAGACATGAATTGTATGTGCAGAATAAAGATGAAAAAATGACAATCCATTGAATTTCGCTGGATAAATTGACAGATCTCTCCCCTCTCAGCCCTTACTTACTTATACTTCTGTAGTGTGCATTCTACAGAATTACCTTTACGCAATCTTTTTTCTCTGTTTAATCAATGTTTGCACAGTTTATATGGAAAATTATTCTTTTTTTCTACCAATCTTAGAAATGCACATTAGTTGCTCCCTTTGAACCACAAGTGTTTTGTCTCCATGCTGTCTGCACATATCTTAGATACCTCTGCCTGCTTCTGAGTGGAGTATATTAGGCTCACAAGCACTAAAAAAATGTAATGTGACATTTGAAACTGAAACACACATTTTATTTAATGTAAATTCATCCTCAGGTTGGATTATTATTTCAACTTTGTTGGTTTTTTTTTTTTTGAGAGGTATTTTTTCTTACTTTTTTCCTTACTGCAATAATTGCTTCTGACAGGTATTTCTGCTACTGTTTGACCCTTTTCAATTCATAAAGAACTCTAGGGATATCTGAAATGCACACACAAAAAAAAAAAAGCATTTAATTTTTGCTAAGCTTTCAGCCCTCAGACAGAATCATAACTCTCACAGACATCCAGACCTGTACAAGTCACAGCTTTGGAGAGCTCCTGAACCTGTCTCTCTAGTCACTGAGATCTCCAGAGCCATGCAAATTCAGAAAAAATTATTTGAATACCAAAGTTATATCACATTCTTGCAGCTGCTTTTTGAAAATAGCAGGCAGATGTATGATTTCCAATTACAGCACTGCTAAAGACTGATAACACTGCTAAAAGATTTACTCAAATAACTTGTCACACATGGAGATCCTTTCCATACATTTACCACAAAACTTGTCTTGTGTATTCCGAGATCTTTGTCTTTAAAATGTGCTTGCTTACTTGTGGGGCTCCATCAAGAGTGCTTGGTTTCTTGTGCAGAAACTGTTGGACATTAGAAACTGCAGGTATGTAACTTTGTGGGAGTGAGAGCCTCCTTCATCATCCATACCTATATGCTGTATGGCAGTTCCCTATGCTTATATCAAGGGATACCTTAGCAGGTAACACATCCTGCTACCCCTTCACTTCTGAGGTCCCCAAAGTAACTCATTGCCTAAAGGCCACTCCTGGTGTCGCAGACATTTTGTCATAAAATCCTCTCTTTTACGATTTGTTCTTTCTGGGAAGCTGGGGCCCCAGAAGAAAAATGTAAACAATAATTATCTGCTGATGTGGAATGTAACAGGAGCATCTGTGATTGTTCTTCTGTGAGTGTTTGGATTTGCTGACCACTCACGGGAGAGTTTGTCCTTGCTTTCTGCTGGACACAGAACTTTGTTATTCATTCTTTTCTATGCTATTCTTAGCTTAGCAAGCCTCAGCAACTTCTCTCTTTATTTCTTTTAGTATAGTTATAATGTATTATATATCATATATCAATAAATCTAGCCCTCTGATCATGAACCAAGATTCTCGTCCACTTCTCTCACCCTGAAGACCTTCATCAGGTCGCTGTAATATCCTGGTGCTGTCTTTGCAACAATTAGATATCAATGAAGATCTGAAACAAGATACAACATTTTAAGTATTCTTGCTTTTAGAATCATCTGTGGGAGTAACAAAATGTTATAATATGATCTCGCTCTATCGGGTACTAACAATAATAATAACGTACAAGTACAAATATGTCTATACATGTTGCTCTAAATCATTGGTATTATTGTCAAACATTTGTTTGAGATTTTTATGAACTTGAACTAAGTATCCATTAATAACATGCTTAATGAGACAAGAAATGTTTCTGGGTTTGAATCTTGTTTGCATATACTGTAGCCTCAAATGTAAGGTCTTTTCTCCTA